GTGATCTGGCATGAAAATTACAGTAGATTTAACAAACAACATAACTGTGTTAACGTAAATCTTCCATCAACATTGGAAACAGGTTAACATTTTCTGATATTATTCACATGTAAACATGTCCTCACAGTGGTGGTTTGAAACAAGCAGCCAAACAAACTGCTGTGGAGGAGTTTATTTAGGGTCATGGCTTTTATTAGATCAAGTGCAGCAGGGAGATTACAGGTACTTACTGGGTGCGGTTCAAGGGTGTGTGTTTGTGTGTGTGCAAAGTATGACATGCACAACCAAACTTAATTTACAGATGTTGAAATTAAATGTTCAGTGTTTTCAAGTTGTATGGTCCCCCTGATGGTGTTCAGGACTAAAACACAGAGTGTGTATTGTGTAATTATTATTATTACACAATTAATACAATTACATAATTACACCATTAGGGATTATTAATATAATCCCTAATGGCAAAAAAAGATGCACTCAAAAAAACAACAAAAAAAAAAGTTCTTGTTGGTTTCTTATTTTACCTAGATTGTTTCTTTTGTCAAATTCAATGATGCCTTGTTTTATTTGTTTCCATTCATTCAACAAAACTGATACAAGTACAGCTTTACAAGAGGAATTTTATTTTCCCGGAGTGAAAAACCAAAAAAACATTTATCAAGGATTAATTTTAAAGACTTAATTAAAATAAATGAGATGCAGCTCAAGTAAAAAACAAACAAACAAACAAAAAAAAAAACAGTATGCTGATGTTCCCCATCAGTGAGGTTTTTAAATCATGAATATTTGTAGTTTTCAAGATGAGTGTTTTTCTGACCTGAAAGTGAACAGGGAATACAAGTAAACATTAATGTTTTTGGTAGGGGTGCACCGATTGCAGTTTTCTGGCCGATCACCGATTTCTAAAAAGTCTGACCTGCCGATTCCGATTTTGGCTGATACCGATTTTGTTTAATAAGCGCCACTGTCAGGTGGCCAGGTCACAATGCACCTTCAATTTTACAATCTTATTTTATTGAAAAACATAACATTGAACAATATCCTAGAAACAATACAAACTTGTTTAACTGGCCATAAGGCGGTGCTCTGAAATATAAAGAAAGTTCAGACAATTGTTGTTAAAACTAAAAAAAAATCTGTGAAATCGGTTCCTCATGCAAGTATCGGCCGATTTCCGATTTCCCAAAATTAAGGAAATTGGGGCCGATAAAATCAGTGTACCCATAGTTTTTGGTGCAAGATATTCAAGTCAAGAGGAATTAAAATGTGTATAAGAACAAAAGTAGTTTTTATTTATCTATTTATTTTCTTGACTGAGGTGGCACTAAATGACAAATCCTGCTGAGGGGAGGGAGCAAATTTATCCACCACGAGGTGCAATGCCATAGCCAAGGGGTGGCCAATGGTGGCTTTGGCCAACATAGATTAATCTTAGGCCACCCCAATTATTTGATGAAACTATACTTTCAGTGTTTCCCCTAGATAACTTGCCATGGCGGGGTGCTCATCTCGTCCGTGATTTTTGTCGGGGTGGGGGAAGAGACGGACACGTCCTGAGCTGCGCAGTGCGCTGTTTATACCAACCGTTTTTTGAGGGGGCAGAGACACAGCCACGTGCTGTTTGCACACAGTTTTACAGTTTTAGAGCAGGGTGGGGGAGGCATGAGGGAAGTGGCTGCCTTTAGCTTTTTAGCTAGCGCAACTGTATTGCGAGCCAGTAGTTTAGCATAACGTCATTGCTGACAGGTGGTTGGGGGCGGGGGGTTTAACAGGGTGCTCGGTTCGTTTGATAGGGCGGAGCGCCCCGCTTGTAAAATGGTAGGGGAAACACCGACTATTAAGCATAATAAAAACTAAAAGGCATACTGGTAGTTTCCTCAAATGATAAAGGTAGCCAGTTTACACATGTATATGGCGATGGCCATTTTGGATTTTGACCTGGCAACACAATTTTTGAAGGAACCTTTCTTACCCCTAGATGCAGACATACACCAAAAAGGAAGTTGGCCTGTTGCTTATTTTTAAAGTTATCTCACTCAAGGTTTACTTAAACATGGCGGTGGTGATCTTGCAATAAGCTTTAATTAGGTTAAGTAGCCCAGATCTGTAAAGAAACAGCATAATACAAACCGGATTCCAAAAATGTTGGGACACTAAACAAATTGTGAATAAAAACTGAATGCAATGATGTGGAGGTGCCAACATCTAATATTTTATTCAGAATAGAACACAAATCACAGATCAAAAGTTTAAACTGAGAGAATGTATCATTTTAAGGGAAAAATCTGTTGTTTCCAAATTTCATGGCGTCAACAAATCCCAAAAAAGTTGGGACAAGTCCATTTTTACCACTGTGTGGCATCCCCCCTTCTTCTTACAACACTCAACAGACGTCTGGGGACAGAGGAGACCAGTTTCTCCAGTTTAGAAATAGGAATGCTCTCCCATTCATGTCTAATACAGGCCTCTAACTGTTCAATCGTCTTGGGCCTTCTTTGTCGCACCTTCCTCTTTATGATGCGCCAAATGTTCTCTATAGGTGAAAGATCTGGACTGCAGGCTGGCCATTTCAGTACCCGGATCCTTCTCCTACGTAGCCATGATGTTGTGATTGCTGCAGAATGTGGTCTGGCATTATCGTGTTGAAAAATGCAGGGTCTTCCCTGAAAGAGATGACGTCTAGATGGGAGCATATGTTGTTCTAGAACCTGAACATAGTTCTCTGCATTAATGGTGCCTTTCCAGACATGCAAGCTGCCCATGCCACAAGCGCTCATGCAACCCCATACCATCAGTGATGCAGGCTTCTGAACGGAGCGTTGATAACAACTTGGGCTATCCTTGTCCTCTCTGGTCCGGATGACATGGCGTCCCAGTGTTCCATAAAGAACTTCAAATCGTGACTCATCTGACCACAGAACAGTCTTCCATTTTGCCACACTCCATTTTAAATGACCCCTGGCCCAGTGCAAACGTCTGAGCTTGTGGAGCTTGCTTAGAAATGGCTTCCTCTTTGCACTGTAGAGTTTCAGCTGGCAATGGCGGATGGCACGGTGGATTGTGTTCACTGACAATGCTTTCTGGAAGTATTCCTGAGCCCATTCTGTTATTTCCTTGACAGTGGCATTCCTGTTTGAGGTGCAGTGACGTTTAAGGGCCCGGAGATCACGAGCATCCAGTAGAGTTTTACGGCCCTGACCCTTACGCACAGCGATTGTTCCAGATTCTCTGAATCTTTTGATGATGTTATGCACGGTTGATGATGATAACTTAAAAGTCTTTGCTATTTTACGCTGGGTAACACCATTCTGGTATTGCTGCACTATCTTTCTGCGCAACAATGGTGGAATTGGTAATCCTCTTACCATCTTGGCTTCTGAGAGACACTGACACTCTGAGAAGCTCTTTTAATATCCAATCATGTTGTCAATTGATCTAATTAGTGTTAATTGGTCTTCCAGCTGTTCGTTATATGCTCAATTTCCTTTTTCCAGCCACTTATTGCTACTTGTCCCAACTTTTTTGGGATTTGTTGACACTGTGAAATTTTGAATCAACATATTTTTCCTTTAAAATGTTACATTTACTCAGATTAAACTTTTGATCTGTCATCTATGTTATATTACGACTAAAATATTGACATTTGCCATCTCCACATCATTGCATTCAGTTTTTATTCACAATTTGTTTAGTGTCCCAACTTTTTTGGAATCTGGTTTGTAATAACCTAATCAATAAAATTTCTAAAAAAATTTTTAAAAACGTACATTTTTGGCTGTACTTTCAGTTACAGTTGTGTATTTATGGTATGGTATGAAGTTATTCATTTTAAAAATACAAAACAGTTCCATAAACTATATAAAAAAATACAAGAGATTTAAAATGAAAGGCCGCAGAAAGAAGAAAAAATCTTAATATATCTGCCCCTTTTTCAAACTTCTTGTTCAATCATAATAATCTTCAAGTGACAGAACAAAACGAATAACTCTTTCCAATTTTTCTAATTCTAATACAAAAACACACTAAGCTACTTCATATATTTTTTTTAACAATTCAGCTTTGATCTTTTTCTTAAATGTACACATTGACTTGGCATTTTTAACATCACTCTCTAGACCATTCCACAATCCAATTCCTTGGATTGAGGTAGACCTTCCCTTCAGACTAGTTCTGAATTTTGGTTTGACAAATATCTCTATCCCCTTAAGATTATAACAACTTTGCCTTTTAACAAAATTTCTTTGGATATTTAATGGTAATGTGTTATTTTGAGCCCTATACAGAACTGATAAAATACTGTAATTTACCAAATCATGGAACTTCAATAACTTCAGTTGATAAAATAATGTGCTTGATGGGTGACTGTAATGCTTTCTGGTGATAATTCTTACAGTTCTTTTCTGTAAAATAAAAATAGGCTTTGTAAATACGCTTTCCCCCAAACATCAATACAATAGATTAAATGTGGAACAATGATTGTGTTATATAACATGTACAGAGCTTTATCATTTAATAATTCCCTGACTTTGTATAGTACTGCAATAGATTTAGCTATTTTTGTTCTTACAGAATTCATGTGATTTTTCCATGTTAGCTGTTCATCAATGATTACACCCAAAAATTTCATCTCATTAACTCTACAAATCTCAACACCCTCAATTTTAAATGGATCGTCAACAGTTCTCTTTTTGTTACTAAATATCATGTATTTAGTTTTATCTAAATTTAATGATAATTTATTAAATTTAAACTAAGTTTGTATTTGATCAAATTCTGTCTTCTTTAGAGTTAATGATCAGCCATTGTTGACCATTGTTTTAATAAAATTGAGGTAAGCTGCTGCAGGTGTTAGGAGAATTAATGCAATTGTTATTTTGTAAGAGTTAGTTGATTTTCTGTCTTTTTTGTGGTTTGCAAACCTGAGCTGTTTTTTTTCTTAGATATCCCTCTTTCTTCACTTTTGACCCTAATTAGTTGATTTACAACAGTTTTTGCATTTTCAGGATTTCTCCATCCCAGACTACCGTGCACACTTGCAGGATCCACAGGGTCGCAGGAGACCCTCCTTACTGTCAGAGTTCCACCCTGGAGCTGAAAGGTAGGGTTTTATCTTTTTTATTTGTGTCTTGATGTATAGTAGTTTATCCTCTTGCATTCAATAGCTACTGATACTGTTCCTGTCATTTCTCCTTCAGGCCTCCAGATAGACGCCATGGTTACGAACCGCAGTTTCACTCCATCACAGCTCAGGCAGAGAATGAAGCCTTGGAGGTTAAACGCCCCCGCATGGAGACTGTTGCAGAAGCCCACATGAACCGCACCACTCCCATTGCTGGAGGCATCATGCTGCCCATGCCTCACTCTGTACAAGACAGTTTAAGAGCCACTGTGGAGGTCAAAAAGGTGGGGCTCACGTCTTTTCTACTACATTTTGGTAAATGTTTAGTTGTAATTTTATATCAAGGTAAACGCAACCATTGGGGTGTTTTTATTTTTATTCTTCTTGGTTGCCTCTGTGTTTATGGACTTTAAAGTAAAAATATGTGTATAACACTCACGGTCACACAGATATTCGTGTGACCATGTAGAATTTATTTGCTATGTCCAGATTCATGTGATGGTTTTTCAGGTTTAATATTTCACTCTTTGTCTTTTATGTCAGGAGTCTCAGTTTACTGTCAAAGTAGAGTCTCCATCCTCAGGAGGCCCCTCATTATCCATGGGTGAGGAGCAGGATACGTCGCCTTCCAAACTTTCCAAGGAGGAGCTGATCCAGAGTATGGACCGAGTGGACCGGGAGATTGCTAAAGTAGAACAGCAGATTTCAAAGCTGAAGAAGAAGCAGGTGAGGAACTCAGGAATGCATTTAGTCTCCTAGCAAACTTCAAAATACGAAGAACTTTTCTGTGGAATAAATAAAATAATTTGTAATGTAACACCAAAAATGATACAAAATACTGTAGTAACCATGCCAGTCCAGTTTGTGGTGCTATAGTGCTGCTGCAAAAATGCATCAAAAACAGGAAACAAAAAGTGGAGCACATGCATAAACAGGGGTCGACACAAGAGTTTTCCGGCTTTTTGAGAAAACCTATTTTCATCTCAGACAACCAGATCTTGCCTCAAAGTTGCCGGTGGACAATCAAGTGAAATAAGTTCTGTTGCTGCAATGGATTTCTGTCACCTGTAAAAAAAAAAAAAAGGGGGGGGGGGGTGTTTTGCTAGTCTAGCGCTACGTTACTAATTCAATTCAATTCAATTCAAAAATACTTTATTAATCCCAGAGGGAAATTAAATGTTGTTGTAGCTCATTTTCCTTGTTTCATAAAAGAGTTGTTCTAGATGTTGATGGTTGTGGGCGGGAAGGATCTCTTGTGATGGTCCGTCTTATAGCAGATCTGAAAAAACTGGCCACAGATGTTGATCCGTTTACTTGCACTTGGTTGGCCTCCTGGGCTTCAGGATCACCTGAATGTTGGGCAGAAATCCTCCCAGGGCAATGGCCACTCCTCCCAGCAGCTTGTTGAGCTCCTCATCGCTGCGGACAGCCAACTGTAGGTGCTGATGGACGATCCTGTCCTTCCGCTGTCATGAGCCGCGTTTCCTGCTAGTTCCAGGATCTCAGTGGTCAGGCACTCGAGCACAGCTGGCAGGTAGATGATAAAGCGTCCACAGAACATCCTTTTCAACTCATTTGAAATTTAGGGCTGTAGTTGAGATATTACTTGAGCTTTTGAGATATTAATCAGCTGCTGTTGGTTGTAGAAACTGCCTTGTTGCCATGGTTACACATCATAACAAATGTCCAAAACTAAAAAAGTTTCAGTAAAAATCCTTCCAGCTGCACAGCATCCGATACCAGAGGAAACAATCATCCAAAAAATGTTATTTACTTCCAGAAAAAGAGGAATTAAAGTTTCTAAAAGCAAAATCACAGAATGAGAGTAACAGAGCTGCTCCAACATGCAGCCACCTTGAGCGGCGCAAATGCCGGCGGTTGTTAGAGGTGGGGGATATTGGTAGGCAGGGCACTTGGTTCTGTTGACAGGGCAGGGTGCTCTCCTTAGATAAATAATGCACACAATGTTTTAACAATAAGAAAGTGTTGTAGCGGTTTGGATAACTTAATTTTATTTAGAAGCATACTACGATGCAAGTGTACTGTGATAACATATCCTGATGCATGCTCAATAATCCAGGTAGAAAAATCCAAAAAAGTTAAATCTGGTCCTCTGGACATTCAAAAAACAAAACAGCACCTCAGACTGAGGAAGTCTTTCGGATGAAAGATGAAACGTTTCTACATTTATTTGTTGTTGTTTTGCTTTGTTTTGTTTTTTGAATGTCCAGATTTAACTCTTTTGTATGTACTGTGATAAATTCAATTAAAAAAATAATCACTTGTGAAAAATAAATGGTATTAAATGACTATATGGGCTGAAATCCTGTAAATATAATCTCTTTGACTTACATAATTACTTTAGGAGAGAAATCTCAGTCTGACAAATTCAGTTTTTTTTAATTTTATGAATTTATACTGTGCAAAGGACTTCCTGTACTATAATTTTTTAAATTACATATAACATGAAAGTAAACTACAGTAAAGTTATTTTTAACGCTTCCCTTCCTTCAGAATGTCATTGGACCTGATGATGCAGGTTAAAATCGTCTTACAACTTCAACCCTTCATTAGAGAACATTATATTGTGTACTTTTATTAAGGTCATGCAAACACCCTGTTCAGTCTAAAAAAGTTAAATCTGGTCCTCTGGACATTCAAAAAAAAATAAAAACAAAGCAAAACAACAAAAAAATGTAGAAACGTTTCGTCTCTCATCCGAGAGACTTCCTCAGTCTGAGGTGCTGTATTCAGCTCAGTCTCTTAAATAGCACCTTCTCAGAGTGGAAGAAATTGATAGATTGCCTGAAAATTTTGGAGCAGGACAAGGCTATTGACCATTTTCTGTACCACAGACTGTACCCAGGAGAGGCCACACCTAGTCTGTATGGTTTACCTAAAATCCACAAACAAGGTGTACCTTTAAGACCAATCGTTAGCATGATTAACTCTGTCACTTACAATGTTTCCAAATATCTGGCGTCTGTACTCATCCCTTTAGTTGGCAGCTCAGAACACCACATACAGAACACAATGGACTTTGTGGATAAGGTGAGGGATGTCATCATGGAGACTGATGAAACAATGGTCTCTTTTGATGTCACATCACTCTTTACGTGCATTCCTGTTGATGATGTAGTAGAGGTGGTCAGTTTAAAATTAAAATCAGACACCACTTTGAGCAGCAGGACCACGCTTTCCACAGAACAACTGTGTCAACTCTTG